CATATGGAGACCGGTCCGCTCACTGGTTGAGCGTGGTGCGGGCGCAACACCGAGGGTTGCGGTCACATTGCCAGTTGCGGTGTGGGCGCGGCACCGAGGGTTGCGATCCCGTTACCGGTCACGAAAAAAGACAAAAAGGAAAAAAAAAAAAAAAGAAATGTCAAAATGTTATCCAGTTTCAGCTGCTGTTTTCAAAACAGCTTGCTGTACTTTCTAGTGAATATCTGATGACTATTTTGTGGTTCTTTTGTTCCCAGGTCCATTAGACATTGGCTACCTTGCTTCCCTCTGTTTCTTCCCAGCACAGACACTCATACCACGAAAATCTTGTACCTGCTGGTGACCACTCCCCATACAACTGTTCATGGGAGATATATTAACCAATTTTGTTGTGACTATTGTCCATGGATTTTTGGTTTTGCTATGTATATTGTTTTTATGTACAGCTTCAGGAGAATTCAAAAACTATGCTGTCACTGCACTATCTTTCCTTTAACTAGCAATTTAATAAGGGCTCTTGAAAGAATAGTAGCCTGTTGAACCAGGTGACTACAAGAAGACAAATCATACAAGTAGCTTTTACATCAAGTTCGATAAAGAAAGGGTTAACAATGTTTCCACAAGTTAGCGTAAAACTTAAATTTAGCTTTACTTTTCATGTAAAGTTGAATTTCTGCCTGTCTGTTACTAAGAAGGGCAAAAGGCTGTCCTGTAACATTAAAAGATTTGTTTCAATTTCTCCAAGATTGTTGACTTTGTGACCTTAACACAATGAACTGTTATTACAGGATGCTATATTTGCTAAATAGTTTGTTGTAGAAAACTGCTCACTTTAGAGTTGTAAATCTGGCACAGAAGGTTGATTGAACCCAACTTCATGAGAATTAAGTCATATTCTATTACTCACAGACGTTGTTCTGTAACTTCGCCATTAAATAAGTGACTTTACATAATCCAAAAAAATGTCAAGACTTTTTATTCTAGCTTTCTCCCTATGGGTCTAATTGAAATACACTTTGTGGCTCTAACTGAATTTGTTTTTTTAACACAAGGTGAATTTAAGTTTTCTCTGTCACTATCTTAGGGATGATGCATATCTTTCCTATCCAAATTTTCTTTTTCCTGCTACTATGAGTTAACACTTACTGAACAATTAGTATGTGCCAGGTGCTGTTCTAAATGCTTTAAGTCATTTAAACTTCACAAAACTCTATAAAGTATTATTATCTGACTTAACATATCATCTATCAAATAGCACACAGAGGTGATATATCTTAACCATTATGCCATACTACCTCCCAATATCTGTGTTTGTATCTGCAAATATACTAGTGTCTTTATGGCACAGGAGTTAAGAGTTAAGATTCTGAAACCAGATATCCTAGGTTCAAATCCTGGCTCCATCCATTAGGGCTATTTGACCCTTAGGCAAGTTACTTTTCTATGCCAGTGTGTGAAAAGCAAATGATTAGTATATAAAAGACACTCAAAATACAGCCTGACACACAGCTAACATGTGTATGATTTGCCTTTTTTAAAAGTTGGGTATATGGCGTTATCTGAATTATCATTCTGCAACTTGATTTTTTCACACAATACGATGGTTTCCAAAATGATCCATGCTGAAGAGCAGGTCTAATTCATTTATTTTATACTACTACATACTATTCCACTGTATAAATGTCAATCTCTATCCATTCTCTTAGTGATGGCCATTTAATTTGTTCCCCATTTTTTTCTATGCTGTGGTGTGCACATGTGCAAGAGTTTCTCTAGAGTGCCTGTACAGAAGTGGAACTGCTGGATCCCTGGGGTGCATACCTTCAACTTTAAATGTTTTCAACATTTTGATCATGTCAAAATGCTCTGCAAAGGAGTTTTTTCCCACAAGGAGTGTATAAGGTATTCTGTTTCTCCACATCCCCACTGACATTTGGTATTGTCAGACATGAAAAATTAATTAAACTTCATTCCAATGATGTTATAACAATAAATGGTAAAAATATCCTTCCTACACACAACCATGTATTTGTTAAGAAAGTATTTGTTATATTCTTAACTCTTGTAATAAAGAAAAGACACTAAAATGGAAAATAAGATGTTTAAGGATTAGAGCATAGACTTGGAGGATCCAAAGAGTATCAACAAAATTTCTATCACAATAGATATAAGCCATTAAAAAAATCAGGGTTGATTAAAAAAAGAAAAAAGGAAAGAAAACACTTACCTCAAACTCTCTAAGGAGTTTAGAAACAAACAAACCCTCTGGAAACTTAGATACAACCTAATAAGTAGAAAATGAAATACAATACAGACAATTGGAATGCTGGATGACAAAATATCAAAATAAGACAGTATAAACTTAAGTAGTAACAAAGGTAAAAAATAGCACTTATTGAATGAAAAAATTATAGTCATATATTATTCTTTTTAAAAAAATCAGTTTTTAGTTTTAAAATATAACAAAAAAAAGTGATTTCCATCATTCCCAGAGTTGAGAAAACAGTATTATACAATATAGCAATGCCACAACCCTCCAAAACTCCTACACTTCTGTAACTAAGCTAAAGCTTCAGCTCACTTAAATTAATATTTTACAGCATGACTTCAAGCATTTTAATTGTTGGAAAAGAAATGCAATGGATACTACAGAAACCTTAGAAAGTTAAGCAAAAATAAAATATCCTGAATAGCTATTATTGTCCATATGTACATAAAAATACCTATATTTAATATAAAAATAAGGTTGATATTTCTACAACCTGTTTTAAAATATCATACCATAGACAGCTTTCCATGTCAGTAAATACTGATCAACATTTTTACTGGCTATAGATTTTTCAAAATATTTAATGTACCTAAATTTATTTATTTGATCATCTATTTTTATGGCTGTTTCTTATTTTTCATCATCACAAATACTGCAATAATTATCCTCATACTTGTGTTTTACACACTTGTCCAATAATTTTTTATGATAAATTCCTAGAAATAGACTTACTCTGTCCCAATAAAGTATAAGAAGTTTGCATTTTCCTAGATTTTTCCAGATATATTTTATACTAAATTCTAATTCAAGCTACAGAAAAATACAGTAAAAACTTCAAAATCCTATTTCCCAGAGACAGCTATTTTGCCGAGTTTCCAAAAACATCCTTTCAGAAACTTCTTTATGCATGCGCATACATTATTCAAGTCCAACAATCTGTCAAGGAGAACCTTCCATGTAAATGAATAGAGACATACATAAATTTTCTTATAAGCCACATGATATCCCCCAGTTTGGGTGGATAATTTAACCAATCCTTTTATCAATGAGTGCTTAATTTTTCTCTAATTTTTTGGGACTATAAAAAAAGGCATATTGAACAGCCTTGAACAAATAATTATTGGACACTTGCTCAAGTGTCCAAACAAAAAAAAGTCCTGAATGCATCAGGGTTTTTTGCATTTCTTCCAGTGAAATCATGACAGCTGAAATGAAATATAGGGCAGTAAGAGCTGTAATGGCACCCTGATTACTCAAGTTGGGATTAACAGCTCTCCCCCAAAATTTAAGTGTACATACCCTCTGGCCCAATACATAACAGCCAAAGAGCTTTCACATTATTTCTAAAACAATAAAGTAGGCAGAGGACATGAACAGGAAATTCTCCTAAAGAATATAAACGACTACGCTAAGCATATGAAAAGATGCTCAATATAAAAATCAAGAGATATAAAGTAAAACAACATGATTGGATAGTAACACTTCACTGTCAGTGAGAGAATAAATTTGTTCAAACCTTTTATAGGGCAATTTCGTAATGTTTATTATCAAAACATAAAATATTTAACACCTTTTACTTGCAATTCCACCTCTAAATAATTGTTCAAAGACATTAACTGCAGCATTTTTTAAATAGTCAAAGGTAAAAACAACCCAGATTTTAATCAATCACGGATCTTATAAATGAAACAGAGTACATCAACATAATGGGATACCACACACTGTTTGGAATAATATTTGACATATATGTATATAAAACCAGTATTGGAAAGATCTTGAACTGTCAACAGTGATTTACTGGGGTGAGGAAAAAAGGAAAGAACAAGAGAGCATTTATGGGAGAATGTATATTTTCTAAATAATTTAAATTAAAAATTTTTAGGAGTATGCATTTGTCTTCATGATTTTAAAAGAATAGTCCCTCTCTTTGCAGTATATTAGAAAAGATCAGGTATATATATATATAAAACCAATAAATACCTGCAGGCAAATTAAAAATTTTTAGGAGTATGCATTTGTCTTCATGATTTTAAAAGAATAGTCCCTCTATTTGCAGTATATTAGAAAAGATCAGGTATATATATATATAAAACCAATAAATACCTGCAGGCAAATTAAGCTCAACCATAAAAGATACCTAAATTTGCAATCAATTATTCTTGTTTCCCAGAAACAGCAAATACTTACGAATTTTATCTTATGTTTTAGTTCTGGACTGATAGTCCCTCCAGGTCCAGTTTGTGCAATAACTGATTTGAATGTGTTCTCCAACTATGAAAAAAGAAAAAAAATTGTCAAGGAAACATCTATAAAGAGGAAATGTATTTCAATCAAATGGATAAAATATTGTTCTAAAGAGGTACTGTAACATTTCATACCATATAAAATACATTTAGGGTAGATGGAATCTTTATTAAACTAAACACTGTGGAATTTTCCAGGATAACAAACATTCTCTATAACAATTACAGTCTACAGTCTTCAATTACTCAACTCCATACTCTTACCCAGAAAGTATGTTTGTTACTAATTTTCTCCTATTTATAAAAATGTTGTATGTCTATTAAACACATACTTAGTGAATGCCTAATGCAGAGAAGAGATAGGATGGTAGGAGGTCCCTGAGGAGTGGAAATGAGTGTGTCTGGCCATGGGTGGACAGGAAGGAAAAGCTCTTCTGTTGTAATAGAAGCAAAGGAAGAAAATCAGTAGGGATACAGAAAGGCTCTGCAAATGTGGCTTTAGAAGGTAGAGAGTTACTATCTGATAGCTTCATATATTCTCTGAGTTCAGAAGCAAGACCCATTCCTGAAAGTAGAGGGAAGGAGGAAGGAGTTCAGACATTTGAAAAAGTGGAAAAAGTAGAAAAATAAAGTTGAGGAAATAATGGATTATAATATAAATTTAGTAAGTGGGAAGTAAAGATAGGAGGGACTTGAGTTAAGATAGCAGGAGTGTGACGATTTTAGTAGAGAGAAGCCAATGACAAAGAGAAGACCTAAAATGGTAAAAAGATGATGCATAGGAATAATTAAAAAGTAAGCTGGAAGCACAGGAGATTATGATCAGAGAGTAGCAGGGAGCATATCCATTCAGCCAAGGTCCAGTGAACAGCCACAGCAGTGGAGAACTAAAGTGGAGTGAAAGATCATGGAGCTATGTTGATTCAAGTCATTAAAGTTGATAACTAAATGTAAAAAAAAAAAAAAAAAAAAAAAAAAAAAGTTAATCCTATCACCCAGACACAATCACTATTAATATTTTTTCCAAGCTTTTTTTTTTTTGGTCTGTCCTCTTACTCTCTCACTTTGCCTGTCATTACTTACAAACTGTGTGACCTTTTAGGTCTCAGTTTCTTCATCTAAAGAACAGAGAAAATCTTGATCTCTAGTAAGGTTGATGTGAAAACTAAATGAGGTCAAGCTTGAAGAGTGCTTATCATGGTACCTGGCACATGGTGTGAGCTTAGGAGGGCCCATTCCTGCTTCTCAGGTGCAGTGATGTTCACCCTGGCAGGACTCTTTCTCAGGCCACTCACTACTCTTTTCATCCAGTATCACTGGCACCACATTTAGCAGAAATTCCTCAAAATTTTAGCAGGTAAACGGCTCCCTATCTAGCTTCTAAAGTTAAGTTTTTCCTCTATTTTTACATTTTTTGGACATTTCCACGTGGATCTGGGAAGCAAAGGATTATATACCTGCGATAATATCATTAACTTTCACAAAAGGTCTCAGCCCTTGGTCTTAAAGAGACTACTTTTCTTCTGTATCTTCAATGAGATAATTCTTAAAGCTCTCCCAGTGAACAATAAGAGAATCTAAAGATAACTGATTTTTTATACCCCAATATGCTCCCACCATTTGAAGATTCAATACAATAGCTTATTAAATAATCACTTTGCTAGTGTTTCAAGGGACAAAAAAGGTCATCTTTGACAGCATCACTCCTCTCAAGTAGGCAAATGAATAAGTGCATAAAGAGCTATAACCTAAGGCTGACTGTAAGTGCCACTAAAGAAGATATATTGCATCAAGCTGCAAATATACAGAAAGCTTCATTTTAGAAGGGCCTTGAAGGAAGGCAAGAATTTTGCAGAGATAGTAGAGACAGCACTGAAGGTAAAAGGAACTTCATAAACAAAAGAAAATGAAAACAGTTTGCCTGAAGGCACTAGGGAAACATTGCAAGAGAAAACTGGAAAGGTACAGTGAATTCATATCGCAGCATACCTTAGATACCAAGCTAAGGAGTTTTTTAGTTATGTAGGCAAAAACGAAGAAGCTGACACTAGAAATTTTTAGTGAGAGAGAGACAATATCAGAACTGTAATCAGGCAACAGAAAATTACATTGGAGGGGTAGACAACCAGTTAGGAGACCATTGCAACTCTCTGGGCAAGAGATTTAACTGGGGTTCTGGGAGAGTAAGAATAGGAAAGAAGGGATATTACAAAAGTGGAATCCTCCTCAAAAAAATGGACAAAAACAGGCCATTAGAAAGAACACCATCATCGGATGAGTGGATACGGAAAATGTGGTATATCTACACAATGGAATACTACTCAGCTATAAAAACGAATGAAATACTCCCATTTGCAACAACATGGATGGACCTTGAAAGAATAATATTAAGTGAAACGAGTCAGGCAGTGAAAAAGAAATACCACATGTTTTCACTTACTGGAGGGAGCTAAAGGTGAATGAATCAATTCACACACATACACACACACACACACACACACACACACACACACTCA